TCAAAATACTCTCCAATCTTATCTACAACTGCTGCAATAAATGCAACACTCATTCCAATAATTCCATATATATTTCCCATTTTTGCACTTATTTGTGTTGATAATCCTCTTAATGCAAGAATAAAACAAAGTGAAACAATAATATTCCCAACTGAAACAAAATTGTTTATAATCTTCATATAATTAAACACTTCTTCTTCAATACTAGAACTTGTGTTCATTTATTTAGATTGTTATTATCTATTTTTTTTGTTCTCTTTAAATACTCTTCTCTTCTTTAGATTCTTTCTCTTTTCATCTAATGAATTTCAATTGAAATCGAATTCATTCATTTATATCATTTCGAATATCGTATATATCGAATATCTTTCCTTTATTTCTATAAATATCTCTGTAAAAAATCTTTAAAACTTCCTTTTTTTTGAATAGTTTAACCTTATCTGTTCTCATTTCATCTTAAATTCAATTTTTTAACGACCTCTTGTTATTAATAACTATCCTAATTATTCCTTCAAAACTTTATTTTTTAATTCTTATCATGAATCTATTCTTAACAAATTCCATTGAACTTTCACTTTTTTTCTTTCTATTTGTTTTTTTCATTGAAATTTATATTTCCATTAAATAATTTCATCCCTTTTTCTTATTCTTTGTTTTTATTTTATACAACTTGATTATTTATTATTTTTCATTTTAATTTAATATCTCTTTTGTTTGTTTAATTAATCATTTAAATACTATGCAACTTGTTTGAATGAGAAATATTTGTTGTTATAAAAAAAACTGAAAAGAAAATGACGAGCAAAAAGTGAAAGAATAAAAAATTAGAATTCAATGGATTGGAATTGGTTAATCACTTCGTCAATTGATGGACGTTCATCTTTATCTTGTTGCCAACATTGTTTAATGATCGAAGTTATTTGTTCGTTAAAATCAGGATCAAAATTAGGACGTTTTCCTTTTGCTACTTGGACAGCAGCATCCCAACCATTAACGAATGGTTTGTCTTGATATATTTCATGTTGTTGAAAGATTTCTAATAAACACATTCCAAGAGAATAAATGTCAGACGATTTAGTAGGTTCTTTTCCTTTAAGAACTTCTGGTGCTTGGAAAATAGCAACTGAAATCATTTCATCATCAGTGATAATATCTGAAGAAACTCCTGTTATTTGTTGAATATTCCAATAATCAGATAATTTACAGACAACATCATCTTTTTTATTTAATGAAAAAACTAATAAATTTTGAGGTTTAATATCACCGTGAACTCTGTTGTTATTATGCAAATATTTGATTGCTGTCATTACATCACTAAATGCTTTTTTAATCCATTTTATTGGTAAGTCTTCTCTACGATAACAAGTAGCAATATT